AAGGGCGCAGTTGTGTAGCCTACTATTTGCTGGACTCATTATTTTCACTTTAATCATCAGACGCCATTTAGAGCAAAGCAGACAGGGTTACACCTCAACGCTTTCTGTTTTAGTTGCGGAAGTCCATATTTCAGGAGTTAACCCCTGCTTCCTGAAAAAGCCCACGTTAGGTATGCCTAGAATTGAGATAGAGCCAGATAGCAACACACCTGTTCCCATACTCTGAAGCCCTTTCTGAATCACCTGCTAAATAAATACGCCCCACACTTTAATGCTTAATACACCACACAGTGAGATCGCAATTAATGGGTCTCGATATCGAGGAGCATCCTTGAGATGTTGTAGGTTATACCTGTTTGTTCCAACACAGGCCAAAATTAATGCCAATTTTACTAACGCATCTCTCCTATTCCCTTAAACTTGTTATTTGACATCATCCATTACCACATTTATTCATTATGCGCTAAATATAGCATAGCTAAATGCATCTATTTGAAACGCTTCACTAATTTATTCATTTTTTCCTTCTTCTTCTTCTTCTTCCTCTTTAACATTTCCGGAGCTCTATTTAGTGGGTTATAATTTTACAAGAATTGTGGATTTTATTTTCATTTTCAAGTTCTTTTATTTCTACTTTGCCAAGTAGAAAATATCAAACAACAAAGCCTATCTTTCATGCATGGGAGCGAAAAGTTAATGTTATAGTGAACGTGAGTAATTTGAGTTGTGTGATATATAAATTGTAATTTCATTCATACAGGAACCCTGTTCCCTGCCCATTCCATTAGTAAATCTTGCTGTAACGTTTTACTGTTCCTTTTTCATACCTGCTCACTGAATTCATAACAATTCTACTACCCAAATAACTTAATGCACACGCGTTTTATTAGGCATTTAAGTATAAGTGTTTCCAAATTATTAATTCAAAAATAATGATCTGGCAACATGCGATGGCCTATTATTAGGGAATTACATTAAACTTGATGTTGAAATATCTCTATTATTATTTTCCCTGTGCACTGTACGAAGCTGTTGCTTATAGTAGTATAATTGGCATGCATTTTAGACGAAATATGTGCTTAATTTTGTGCGTCCGTGGCATTATTGTCAGTAGGCACGCCCTGAGTCCAATTCAGGATTCTAAATTCTTTAAAGAGCACCAACTGGACGACAATACTCTCTCCGCACTTGTCAAATTATGAATTTCCCAAAAGGAGCTACGGAATACTTCAATTTCACCCAAGTTAAAAGCATTCATTTTCACACTTTTTGAACTGCTTCATTTCTTATATAATTTAGTGACCTTGAAGTCAAGAACGATTCGCTAACCAGAGAATCAATTGGTCTTGCTCTATAACCTTACTTAGGAAACCGATGAAGCGATTCTGGCTCCTGTTCGTGGCCAAATAATTCGTTCTTTGGAGTCCCTCTTTGTCTTTACACTTTAAAGGCGCATATTACTCCCGATAGTATGCCAGTCTGTAAGAACTGTCAACTGTATGACAGATTTGTAATAATATGAATAGTTTGTTTTTGATTGATAGCATAATCGTCTGTGAAATCGGCTTTTCTCATAGGAGAGGATTTATGATGATACTCAACCACACCGACTCTCAAGATGAGTGATGGCAACGATCAACCTTGGAAGTTAAATTATCTTAAACGCACATCATTTTGATCTACTTTCTGCTAATTATATTGGAACTGACTTAATCATAGCTTTAACCACAAAATAGCAGTGACCAAAGTACATATGCCTCTTAAGTAATTTTGTAAACAATGTTAAGTTTAACATAATTAGAACATGGGGAAATTTGTGTGATTTTCAATGCAACTACCAAATCAATATTGATTTACATTTTTAGATGCTTTAAAAGTTATGACTAATGTTTACTCTTGGCGGGGGTAAAAGGTTTAGAGAAATTTAGTTATTAGAGATTGTTCCGATCAAAATCTTCAATTATTTCCTCTTTCTTACACTCCATAAGAAACTCAATTTCCTGTTAGAGGTTTCAAAATATAAAAATGCTAAAACAAGAACTTTACAAAAATCCTGAATCCAATAAAAATGGATCTTTGAAATGCTTGAATTCTATTAAATAACCTCTATGCTATATGAGAACGCTTACAAATAATGGCTTTCAGTAAAAACTGTATATCCCATTGATATTACACGATCCTTTTTGAACACTGATAATAGTTATCAACCGACAATAAAATTTAATGAAGACGCCAATCAGTAATGACGTTTTGATGGTAGAAAAATTCTTTATAATGCTAACGATAAATATAGGTAACTTATCAAGATATTTTTCATAGGAGTTAGTTGAGGTCCTCTCAAAGCTGCGCACTGAAGTACGTTTCAATTTCACTTAAATTCGGGTTATATTCCACTGTCAATTAAAACGCTTAACAAAAGAATGTCTTTTCGTGTTTTAGGAAATTGGAGCGGGAAATTTCGAAAAAGTTGAACAAGCTCTAGAATTCGTGATTCAATTTTTAAAAGATCGGAAACTTGATGCGGACTTTTCAATATCCATTGAATTTCAACCTTATTCTGCCTATAACGAAGTAAGAAATGCCTTAATTTTAAAAGTATTCATCGTTATTAAGGCGCTCATAGGCATATAATGACGTGTGCAATAGAGGGGCCCTTTGAATGTAATGTGAGTAGGGATAACCTTGGCTACCAAGTACATTACTACTTGGGACTTAAAAGCTAATCAAATCAATAGCCATGCCAGCATATAGGGAATGAAAAATCAATATAATTTTGGAGTAGATCAGTGTGAAGTAAAGACCTGAGATGTGCTACTTTTGGAAGAAGTGAAGACTGGGAAAAGAGGATAGACAAAAATTATAAAATATCGACTATCAATAAAATTATTAAATGAAATATAGTTATAAAGTTGTTTATTTCACTTTTGCATGAATTATTTGTAAATGCTAGATGAAGTCACATCTGAAATACAGTCCCTACGGCACACACACGCGCACACGTACCTATTAGACTTGGATAACCCTGTTCTAATTTTTGCATCTTTTGAGCCAAGTAGCGATTTTGTATTCTTTCAGTCTCCCTCGCCATACTTTTAATAGACGTTTCATAATAATCTCTCACTTAATACTAAAGATTAAGAAAGCGCAATCTGCATATCAGTATTTAATTCTATGAAGCGATATTTATAACCGTTATCGTTAAAAGAAATCATCTTCAATATCGCTGGGCATTCACTATATTCACTATAAATTAATATTAGCTGAAAAAAGTTTTTTTTCTGTAAAGTTTATGTCGCCCTCATCCACTTGCTCTGGTCTTAGGAGAAAAAGTAAACTTCTGCATATATGTCAAAATGTTGGAGATCGTGATTTTGGGTACTGAATATTGAATCACTGATTTAATAGAAAAATTGAGGAAGAATTCTGGTTTTAAAGGAGAAAGGAATCGTACAAATACAAAAATTTTATTATAACTTTTAGTCATTCATTCTTACATTTCTTTATTAGAATCATTTTTATTGCAAGTTAGATACAAACTATGAATATTTATTTGTTTCAAATAGAAAGCTTTATAATAGTCATCATTAGCCCTTGGGGTGTGCGATAGACTTACCTCCACGTGGTGCACCCTGGGCAACGTATATTCATACGGCAAAAAATCTATTAACTTTCAGTTGACTTCTGACTTCAAACTACCCTCACCCCATTGTATGTCATATTAGACTACTTCCACAGTACTCACCTCACCTTTTTTCTACCTCCGTCTTTGAAGCACTCTTCTGTCCCCCCCCCTCTCGACTTGTTTTTCTACTTTGATGTTCCTTCCCCTCTGTGAAGCCTGAAGTCAACTAAAGGGCTAATGATAACTATCAGAACGCCTGCCATTTGATATAAATAAATCATTAGCCCTTTAGCTGACTTCGGGCTTCACAGAGAAGAGGAACATCAAAGTGGGAAAAATTCGAGAGGGGGAATAGAAAAGTGATTCAAGGATGTAAAAGAGATGGACAGACATAAAGGCAGAGAAAGATAGGTTGAGTACTGTGGAAGTGGTGGAATATGACATACAGTGGGGTTATGGTTGTTTGAATTTAGAAGTCAACTGTCGATTTATAGACTTTTTTGCCGTATAAGTATACGTTGTCCAGGGTACACCACATAGAGATAAGTCTATGGCACACCCCTGGACTATAGATATAAGTGACTGGTGTGA